TTCTTTTTCATAATCAATCCATGTCTTTGCATGAGATTCCCTGTATTTCTGGATCATTTTCTGATTACCCTTTCTACCTGTCAGTAAACACCTTTTTACTTTTGAATCTCTGGCATTGGCAGCCTCCTAAAGAAATTTCCTCTGCCCCACCATTATGTACATTCTATTGTGCTGGTCAGGTTTCACTGATACGTTTTGGTTACACATTTGACTCCATTACAAGACCAAGAGCCTCTTGAGAACTTTATTCAAATAGATAACCTAATGGCCTAACATAGCACTTGCACTAGCAAATACTCACTAAATTTAATTCCCTCAAATGTAACTTATTTCAAAGCTGCTTCTGAACTGTATTTATTTATAAATAAATAAAAGTTTTGAATTACATTATTTTAAAGATATATTTCAGCTCTAGAATTCTGTAACTCACTGAACAGAGAATTAATACCATTTCTATCTCATAAAAACATGCTTAATAATATCAATATTAATAATCATTGATTATAAGATGATTATTCATTATTGAAACATCCCAGAAAATTACAAAGAAAATTAAAGTAGCCATAATCTCACCATATAAACTAACATAAATCTTTAAGTAGGTTGAAAAATGCTTCTACTACTTAAATTTTTGAATTTAAAAAATTCCACTTTATCAAATAGTATATGGAGTGTAAAAATTATTTGATAAAAGGCAACTTTTCACTGAAAGTATATATATCAAAATATTAATTTTTCTCATTTAGGATTAGTATTTTTAGTAAATTATATTCATTCTATGTGTATTATTTTGTAACATTTTTGATCTGATATATATTAAGTATTTCCTATGATTACATATTTAATGTTTTAATTCTCTCTCTTTTCTGGCTAATCCATGCTGTTAATACCTTGGGTAGTAGTGCCTCCCCCACCCATTTTATTGAGCCACCTTCCATGTTCATTTTTTTCAAAAGATTATAATTCTATCTTAAATTGCTTTATTCACTTACAAAACTTAATAAACACTCTCCATATCAGTGAATATTTAGCTATATTGTCGCCTTATAGGATTATCGTATTCCACTATATGGTTGCACTGTCATTTATTTGTTAAATTAATCCCCACATGATAAATATTTAAATTGTTTCCACCTTCTTTCTACTATTTTCTATAAGATGTAACAAGTCACTTTGCTTTATATATTTGATGAATTTTTAAGCAGATCAAAGACCATATTTGTTTCCCATAGAAAGACCATACAGATCTACCCTCCCACTAGCAGTATATAAGAAGACTCATTTTCTTAAACTCTCAATAATATTAGGTGTTAACATTATCTTCAATCTTTACCATATTGATGAGCTGAAAAACTAAATTATTGACTTATTTTATAATATTCATATATTGGCTATTTTATGAATCCTTTATGAACTGTATATTTATGTATGCTATGTACCTATTTTGGAGTTTTCATCTTAATTTTATTGACTTGAAAGCATTACATTTGTAAGGATTTATTTTAAAATATTCAGGAACATTTGGAGGAACTCTGTAATATGGAGATCATATTTGTGGGTGCTTGCTGAGACTTTGATAACTAGGTGTTAATGTTTGAATAACTGCAGCCACCTGACCAAAAAAAAAAAAAAAAATCTTTGGACATTTTCTCTAAGCAATTTGATGGTCAGGGGAAATGGGAATGCATAATTATGGATGTAACTAGAGTCCTTGAATATAATTGCACTCATAAGTCACATAAGACAATTCATAACAATTTGGTCCAGCATTTTAATTTTGTCTGTTAAATTATTCATGTGAATATTTTTATGAGTTTAACCATGAATATTTGATTGGTGGTTGATTCATAACCATAAAATATTTTAGCCCTTTATTTTTCTCATTTATGTCCAATTAACATACATGGGAAGGTGGAGAAAATTTATTCTTCTTAATATGAGAAACACCTTTCCCCACAGACTTATTGAGGCTGTCTAATGAGCATTTACTATGACTGGAGGTCAACATTATGCCTATTCTGGTAGTTTAATAAGTGTTCTAATAATAATTTTCACTACCTGGAGGGAAATATTATAAATCTCTATTTCACAACTGAGGGGATGACATTCAGAAAGGTAAGTAATTTTCCAGAAATCGCACAGTATGTTGGTAGCTGAGATTCAATTCAAATCCAGGTCTATGTGGATTAAAAGACCGAATTTCCCCCAACCTGCGGAGACTCTTGCAGTGGTTCTCGGTGAGCCAGGCCCATGTGCCTGCACACCACCATCCTGACTCTGCTCCCACCCCTTCTTCATCACCAGAGCAAATCGCCAAGTAGACATCCGACACCCATTTAGTTACATTAAGTTTTTCTCACCTAACGAAAATCTCCTTTCTGCCAAACGTATATTTGTAACGCTTTGCCTGCTATACACGTATGTGAGAAGAACTTAGTTTGGCAGGCTGATAAGTATGTGTAGCTAGATGTGAATGTCAAAAGATGCTCTGTAAAGGCTAATTCATGGATTGTGACACCTGGTAGACTGTGACTATTCAATTTTTCTTAAAACTAAACAAAGTAAGTCACCTCTGTAAGGAGCCAGCGAAAGAAAGAGCTCCTTAGTCAAAGACCAGGGAAGACATCAATTATCTCAAAAATAACTTTTAGAACTCCACAGGGTGGGCAACCAAAAACATCTCAATTATTTTAGCTTGAGTTAGATAACTCAAATAATTCTCCTAATGGATCTGCATACTTAATACTATGAATTGGTGTGACCCCGTATTATAAACTCATAAAATTATCAAGAAGGGAATATATAGATGAAAGGGTCAAATTTAGTTTAATAATATCTTTTTTCCTAGCACCAACATCTGTCTATAAGCTGATTTAATCACTGTGTTATGAGAGCTGTATATAAATTACCATTGATGATACGTTAAATCAGTGGTTCCATAGCTGAGCTGAGCAGCACAGTCTCCCAGAAAGTTATAAAAAAGCACATTTTTATCTCTGAATCTCTGGAGATTGGGATTTTTTTCTGAGGTAGGGCCTGTAATGAGCATTTTTTATAAGTTCCCAGGTGAATCTGACATGCAGCCTGGTTTAAAAACCAGTGCTTTAACCACATAATGCCTCTCCCTCACTACAACTCTATTTGCCAAGCAACAAAGGACGACTTTGCCTTATGCTATGTGAGTCTGATTGTCTGACTCAACCCAGGTGACTCCTGGGTTGGGAAGCCTTCAGTCCAGCACAAAGCCTGCAATCCTTAAAATCGCTGCCAGGGCCCTTCAGGGCTTGGTTTCTGACCATGTTTACTGTTCATCTCCCGCCACTGGTCGCATGCGTGGGCCGCTTTCTGCTCCCTTGCGCAGACGGTTATTCAGAGAATATGCCATGCTTAGTTAGAGCTTCTGTTCTGATCTTTAAATATCCACATTTTCTTGTCTGCCTGCAAATTCCAGTGGATCTTCAGGATTCTGCCCAAACATCCCCGAAGCTGTACCTGTTTTCTCACTTTTCCCCTCAACATCCCAGGGACTCACTCCTTGGTACCGAGTTTTTCAGCTTGGCCCTCCTGTAGCCCAACGGTTTGTTACACTGTGTTGGGTTATTTCTTTACATTTTTATCCCAACACTGTGCTACACATTTTTCGAGGACAGAAACCAAAAGGCTCAGTGCCTCCACATATGTATCCGTAAATCTCAGATAAACGAAGGAGCTATTTCAGACACGTCTCTTTATCCCCAGTGACACCTCAATAGCTCTGTTCTCAATGCTGTTACCAACGATTGCTCTTTAAAATGGTACAATTTCTTTAAAAGTGTTTTCTTTTGGGTCTTCGAACTTGTTTACTACTCTTCTAGTAACTGTATTTCTATTTTGTATTTGTGACCAGCACAATCAGTTCAGTACATCAGTTCTTTTATAAGACCACTTTTCTTGTGAAATTCTTTGTATTGGATTTTCTGGAGTACTTTAGAGAGAACCGCTGGGAAAAACCATCAACATAGCTGACTGATGGAGCTGTGTCCTTCCTTTAGACACGGTTCAAGCCTGCAGTCATGGCGTCTCTTTCCGCTCCTGACTTCTCATGCTCACACTGGACATAAGAATTGCTCTCAACAGCTTTGTTTGGAACATTTGACTTAAACTGGAGCAGGTTTATACAGATGTGTGTGTGTGGGTGTGTGTGTGTATGTGTGTGATCCCCGAAGGATCACTGTTGAGGGAGCATGGGGGAGATGACCAATAGATCAATGATGTACAGCTCGCTTGAACTTTAGTTGCTGACCCCTCCGATCGCTGAGACTGTTTTCTCAGATCTTCTGTGTCCTGCAGAGTAAGAAAGGGAGGGGTGGAATCGCTGAGGCCTGAAGGGCCCCGGTGTAGAGCACAGTGGGGCACAGGCACTGGGACAGAGGCGCACCACCGGGCAGCGAGGGGCACAACCTGGGGCTTTCCCACGAAGGACCTCCCAGGGTTAAGAACAGAGAGGAAAAGAATGGTGGGAGAACAGGAGGAAGAAACAGAGGAAGGACAGCCCCGGTTTCCAAGGGGAGCCCCTCCGGGTCCCCTCAATCTGTGTGTGTGTGCAGGAGCAGTGGCTGACAGAACCTCTTACCCTTCTTTAGTCTTTGTTATTCTAGAATCCCGATTTTATTTTAACCAAGAAGGGTAGACATAAGGCCTCTCTGCATCCTTTCGAATGTGCCCCTCTCTTTTCAGGAACACTATCAGAGAAGGCCCAACTGACGCCTTGCTCTTGCCATGTGGTGCCATCACCTCATATTGTCACCTTCCAAATCAGGGACACACAAAGGCCCAGATTGGGTCCTTTTGGCCCACAGCAGTGCTTACCCAATATGGGGAGAGGCGTGGCGCATGTGGTGTTCTTGTGGCTACAACTCGTTGCAGGGTCATCTCGAGGTTAGAGGAAGAGACTGACCGGGTGGGCCTTTGTCGGTGCTGAGCTGACCTGCGGCCTCTGGCTCTCCTTTCCCCACCCCCAGGTGACTTTCGAGCCAGGCCCCCGCCCATGCGCGGCCGCCGGCTGCTCCGCGCACAGATGGCCGCGCTCCTGGTGACCCGGCTGCGCCACACGCGCCGCGCCTGGAAAAGCAGCCTCTGGCGCCTGCTGCTGCCCGTCCTCTTCGTGGCCCTGGCGATGGGCTTGTTCATGGTGAGGCCCCTGGCCACCCGCTACCCTCCCCTCAGACTGACACCTGGCCATTACCAGCGGGCCGAAACTTACTTTTTCAGGTAAGAACCTTTTTTTATCCTTTTACTACAAAAGTATGTCAGGACAGATTATGAATAGCAATAACTTTGATACTTTAGAGAATTTCAAATAAAAATTTCAAGCATAAATGTTCTCATTATTTTGGGGTCTGAGTTGACACGCAGAACCTCTGAGCAGCTCTTGCTCCGTTCGGGGCTGGCTCAGGGCAGATGCTCAGGGCGGGCGGGGCAGGCCTGGCCGCCAAACCCCGAGTCCCCACCCTCCCCACGGCCCCGCATCCCCTCCGGGGAAGGGCAGGCCAGGCTACTGGCTCCGCACACACTTCCCTACAGGCCCTCTGCAGGCAGGCAGTCGAAGGGCCAGATATAGCCCAGAATTTTTAGGATTCTAGAAAGTGTGTACGTTGTACATTTCACAAAGCCCTGCACAGTTGCCTCTGGTACAACAGCCCGTAACTGCACGCACCGCTCTGCAGAGAAACGTAGGACTCAGCTAACGGGGTCAAGACGGTAAACATCCCCCTGCCAGTGTAGGTCAGGACTTGCTGCAGTGTTTGCCAGAATAATCTGGGTTTTGCCACCAAAAACATTTACACAAGAGCTTCTCAGAACTAACGGGTTGTGGATTTGTAGACATAGGGTCGGGAACCTAATAGAAAGCCCGATCCCCTAAGTTCCCTTTGCTGGCGCTTGGCTGGCGCTCCTCGGAGTCAACGGTGGTTCACAGTCGCCGAGCGCCCGCCCCGTGCCGGGCACTGCCGTGGGCGTGGTGACAGACGTGATTGCTGTGAGCAGCACGATTACCTTTCAAGGTGGCTATAATCATCCACATTTGCTGTGGGGGCAGATATCTGGGACCCAGTGGCACTGGTTTATGGCTGCACGAGCTCACTGGGCAGCCCTTTCATCCTAAGGACAACTAGGAGGACAGTATCAGTCCTGCTTGTGTCAAATACGTATTTTTCCTGAAGTAATGAGCTAAATCAGCTAGTCTCTGAGTGCTTGCTAGTATTTATGTAACTTTTACAGTGATGTGTAATTTGGAATTAAATATAAGCAAATACAGGGACAAAGGAAAAATCTATTACAGACTCTTAAGTTCGTTCCTTTCTCTTTTGGTTTACGATACTTCACCTCTGGACGTCTGTATGCTCCGTGGGGCCTGGGTTTAACATAAAGAAAGAATCCCTGCAGCAACCCTGCTTGCAGAATTGTGTCCATGTCCCCAGTGTCCCCTCTTCAGCTGGCTTTCTTATCTTCCGGGGCCATCTATTTTGTGGGCCTACTCTCATCCTTCTTTCAAGAAGGGTTTAAAATGAGCATACCACTGTGTGAGAATGTCCACTAATGCTTTTATTCTTCCCCGAGGTTCAGATTTCTGCCACACTCCTCAAGTATGAAAAGGCTGTCACTATTTTGAGCCTTTTAATTATAAAATATATTTCTTGAAGAAAATAATGCAAAGCATAGGCTAGCAAAAAAAAGAAAAAAGAAATTAAAAAACAATCACATTTAATCCTGCCAGAGATATTTCCCATAAACCTATTGATGTATAATCTTCTGTGTGTCATATATAGAAGGCTTTTAACCACATGTATTTTTATTTTTTATGACAATGAGGTTAAACTGTAATGCTTTCTGTTTTTTTACTCAGTCATATATTTGTATCTATTCTTGTAAATAGATACAACTACATTATCTGTAAAAACCATATTAGCCAAACTACGGTATGTATACAGTAGTATGTTGCATGAAGAAATCATAATTTATTTAAATAATCTCTATATTGGGGGCACATAAATGTTTATTTAAGTGTTTTTTCCTATTATAGGCAATGCTGTATAAATATCTTTGTTTAGATTCATGTGACTGTGAAATAATTTTCATTATGGTACACGTCTATTAGAAGTTTTGGGGCAACGGCATCAGTATTTTAACGGTAGATATTGCCAAATTACCCTTATAAATTGCTTCCAATTGAAAATCTCGTAAAGAGGTTGATTTTTTTTATTCAACAGATACTTACTGTGCACCTACTATATGCTAGGTACTATTTCAGGTGGTAGTTACACAGTTGTGACTAGAGCAGGCCAAAACTCCTACCCTTGTGGGAGGAAGGAAGCTCACCTTCTCCAAACTCTATCACTTTTGAATGTACAGACCTGGTATCTCATTACTTTTTTAAGCAGCTTTTTGATTACTATTGAAGTTGAATATTTACAGTTATTAATATTTTTTGGTTATTTAAATTTTTGCTTTCTATATAGAATATTTTAAGCATCATCTACATTGTAAATGTATTTGCATACTCTTGCTTCTAACTGACTTCTCTTTCACCCTTCCCCCATGGCCAACTTTTTACCTCTTCATTCTTTCCTTCTGAGATTGGTGAGAATTTCTCTACATGGTGCTTATTTTACCAATACCATTTTCAGTTGACTCCAAACAGCTATTTACATTCTCTACTGCATTATTAATTTGTTAATTATGTTTTTCATTTGAAAGCATTTTTTCTTCTCTTGCGGTATTCATTTTTCACAGCAGTAATGCACTCCAAAATTATTTTGAGTCTGAGAATTAGAGATATTGTGATCTTTTCTTCTATTTATAAGAGTAACTCTTTTAAAGGAGGATATTTGTTTGTTCTCATTTTTCATGGTGTTACCCAGATACCAGCTCACATGTCTGGAGCTTTATTTTTTCATTACAGATGGAGTCCCACCTGCCATAGGACACGCTACCTGCTCCACGTGCCCCTCCTTTAATTGTTAATTCCAGGCTAAAGAGAAAAGAACAAGCTTACATTTTTGTAGTTTTTATTTTAGTAGAGTAGTAGTTTAGTTAGTTATGAGGAAAAAATAATAAGCTACCAGAGAGCATCCACATTGATGGAAAGTTTTCTTGTTCTTTTGCATTATCTTGCGTGTTGGTAGTGACAGTCAACACACAGATAGTGGGGGAGAGAATGACTATCCTATAACTGCTCTTGTTAGAACTCCTTGTTGAAATTCACTGTTTTTCTTCTGTGTATGGAATTGTCTCTATTTGTGCTGACGAGTTCCTCCAAAGATAACCCCTACTGTTCTGCATATGTGTTAAACCTGCCCCTTTTCACTCTCAAAAATGTCCTGGTGTGGGTGATAAATGATATGACCATTTCATCTGTATTGAATCTGAACACCATGGTCTGAATCTTAGGAATGATTCCAAAAAGGGCCCAGCTTATCGGCTGTCACATTCCTCCCAAATCCCTACATGCACAATTGCCCGTGGTCACCCAGCACCCATCCTTGCTGCTCCAAATGTGGGCACATCCTCGTTTCCTGATCTGTGAGCAATCTCCTTGGAGGTAGATAGGGTTTCCATTACAGTTCCTTACTTTCTTTGTAGAGTAACTCCCTGTTAACAGGTGTATAATTCAGACCTGTATGTAGCTTTCAAAAATCATTAGGTGTTTTAGCTTTGTGTTGATATGGACAGTCATATAAATCTTATTTTATTAGTGTTCTGACAATTCTCAATACACTCCCATATTCCTAAAATCTTACAGTTGAGAAAAAGAAGTTATATACCTACATTAAATACATTAAAAATTTCTTACAGACTATATTTTTCATAAGAACACAAACCAAAACGAATGCACCAAAGAGGTTCTCTTTCATCTGGATCCTTTGTGAATGAAGTGTGCAGAGAGCACCCCTGCTGCTCATAGAGGATTTTGTCCTCCTTAGACCCAAACAAACCAGGGGATTTGGTGACTCAGTCTCCAATGGTCTCCAACTCAAATGCCTTGGGGGGTCGGTGGGGCCTCTGACCCATTCAGCACAGAGGAAGCACAGAGCAGCCCCAGGGAAGCTAGGAGAGGGCTGTGCAGCTCTGTGCTGTGCAGTGTGAACACAGCCATGCACCTGCAGGTGGTGAGGCCCTGTGAGCCCACTGCAAAGCTCCGAGTAGCTCCTGTTGCCCCAGGATGATGCCTGTACATATGAGCATGGTCCGTAGGTCCTCCAGGTGCCTCTGCCTTGTGCTCTGCTCTTCAGAGGGACACAATCATACACGATGTTGCTCCATCTTTCCTGTGTTTAAGGAAATGAGAAACTACCTTCCTTCCCCCACTTCCTGTTCTCTATGCCACTCGACTCTACACACATTCATGTTCCTAGCAAAATAAGAATGGTTCCAAAACCTGGCTCAGAGCAGTTGTCAGCCACTGCTCTCTCCTCTGTGTGTCTGTCATTGCTACCTGGATCTCACTGTGGTTTAACTTATTGCTGGAGATTCTTGCCTTCCTTCCTGCAGGGAGACTCCCTCGGGGGTAAGAATCATGCCTTCTTCATCCCTGTACCTTTAGTTCCTGCCACAGAGTCTGCAAATGGTTACTTTCATTAAATACTTGTTAAATTGGATTAATCAATTGACATAAAATGGACCAGGAAAATTCTTCTAGAAATTAACTTGGACAGGCAGCAGACAAATAAATGGACTATGGAAAAATAGGTCTCTACACACTAAAAATATTTAGTGATTCCATGACCCCACCTTCTGGGATGGGGCACCTGGTCCTAACGAGAGGAGATACGCCCAGTTGCACCACTAAGTTCTTGCTATCAGAAGAACCTGTGGAGTCTTGGAACATGGACCGGACCCTGGCCCACTGCCTGCTGTTTGTTCCCACCGTCAAACTAACTCTCTGTATCTCTAAGTCCTCCAACCAGAAAAAGACCTCAGAGGGGCAAGTGTAGGACTCTGAGTCCTGGTCACAATACCTGTTCTCTAAGAGCCTCCAAAAGGCCAGTGGGCATAGGCGGCCAGTCAGCACCTGCTCTTCACGGTGTCCCTATTCTGTTTGCATGCATGCAGAAAGTGACCACCTGTCTTAGTCTGCTAGGGCTGCTGTAGCAAAGTACTACAAATTGAGTGACTTAACAGAAATTTATTCTCTCACTGTTCTGGAGGCCAGAAGTCCGGAATCCAGGTGTCAGCAGGGCCACGCTCTCTTTGAAGGCTGCAGGAGAGGATCC